GCTCAAGAAACCTATCGTTATAGTAAGAGGACACCAATAGAGCATCGTTGGTTTACTCCATGAGCAAAGACATTTGAGAATCGAAAAAAAACTTATGTGATCGTAATCGAACAAGACTTATAACCAAGTTCGAGATCATACTATGATAAGTTGACATAAAGATTGAATTGTTTGGTAACCATACTTGTGAAATGTAATAATGAATTAATTAATCCTCTTAAAGAATTGAGTAATCATGATGCCTTACTAGATGCTTAATCTTGAATTATGTATCAAGAGATAAAAGAGGTGTCTTTTGTTGTTAATATATTGCTAACATATCTAGGAGCCTATAAAGTCACACGTATAAGTTTAAGCATTTACATGATTAAAGAGAAGTAAAGATATTGAAAAATGATTTCAATTTTAAAAGTTTCCTATTCTGAAAAAAAGTTTTTAAAAATGAAAAGTTTTCTAAAATATAAATTTTTCTATTTTAGAAATTAGTTTTCTAAATTGAAAGTAAGTTTCAAATTTGGAAATCGAGTTTCAAATTTAGAAATAGATAACCTAAAATGAAAATGAGTTTCCTAATTTAGATTTAAGGATATTTTAAGAAATTGTCTCCTATGTGAGCCACCTAAAAATTATCTAATTTAATTTATTTGGATAATTCAAATTAATTAATTGGCTAAAATAATTTTAGGCTAATAGGTTTAATTAAAAACCTAAAAGATAACTTGATGGGAGGATAAACATGAACCTTATTGAATAAGGATGAATATTTTATAGATAAAGATCATAAGCCCATATGTTAAATAACTCCTAATCCTTGGAGAATTAGAAAGCAACAACAAGAAGTCCAATAAGAACTAGTTGCTACCCGTTTCTTGTCCTTGAAGGAAAAGGAAAATCTCTCCCTATAAATAGGAGGAGAGGTACGATAAAAAATAGGTTTTTTAAGAAAGAGAAAATTTGACAAAAAGATAAAATAAAAGGAGACACACGGCTTAAAATAAAATAGCTAGAAGAAAATTGTTTTCCGTCTAACCCTAGCACGCCACTTTCTTCTCTCTCTTTCTCTTTCTCTCTCTTTGGGTTGTCATAAAATTATCCTGATTAGATTTCTATAGGAAACATTAAGCAATTCAGAAAAGATAGAGCTAGCACCCTATCAATTTTGAGTGCTTCTTTTATGGATACTTGGATTGTGTGAATTATCGATAAAGGTCGGACACTTGGATGACTCTTTTACGTAAAGATTTAGATCTACTCTACGAGAGGTAAATTTTTTATTCATTGCTTTAATTTATAAATATATGGTTAGTTGATCAACATCATGATCTTAGATCCTTTAGATTTTTTGTACCTCTATAGGATGCATGATCCTTCGATTGATATTAGAGCCTCGTTAATCTTTGATTGTATGTTATGTTAATTATCATTAACTACATGAATGAGTTATGTTTGATTATAAATCTTATGTTTTTGGTATTTTATATGAATTTAAAATTGAAATTTAGGTTAAGAATCAATAGGGGTGTGTGAGGCCGACGTTGGATGTTGGGCTTGTGTGCATAAAAACCTTAGGCTGGTAGCACATTAAGCACATGGTAGGCTAAGAAGTTGCATGCCACGTGCACGATAGGGTAGGCTATGTGTGCATGTGAGACCACCGGCTAGGTGTTCGCAAGTTAGACTACGAGCTATGGGCGGGCATGCTCGAGTACACCAAGTCGAGGGCTTGGGCATCAAAGCTTGTGGGCACTTGAGGTCCAAAAGCCCATGAGCCAAAAATGGACCCAAGGTACGAAAAGTTTTAAAATTAAAATTTAGAGAAATTTTAATAAATTTATAAAATGACCAAAACATATATTTATAATTGAGTTTTAAATTAAATATGTTTCATTAGTATGCCATGTATCATTGTGATTAAAGCATGAGTAAATAGTATGGATGAGTCAATCTAGTCTTATGGGAATGAATGTTTATAATTTTTGGATAAATAAGACTTGTGCGTCGTGCCTTCTCTATTACTCTATTGTATTTCTCTTCTCATCTTACTCCTCTTGAATGTAACTCAAGGTTTATCATTCAAATAAATGTAAAGGTAAAGGATATAAATTAGAATAAATGCAAGGAGAAGATGCCACGAAACAAAGACATCCCGAGAAATTTATAATAATTTTGTACCTAGGTATTTGATCAACTAGTCTCTTTATGGCTCAATGGTACTAGTATTAGAGATCTATTATCATTCATCAATCATTATGTCATAAATTAAATATATGTATATTATATGATTAATGTTAGTATGCATATTAGGAATAATATGATTATCAATTAGTATGTATGCTAAGATGAGACCAACAAAATTAAATTCTTTAAATAAACTATTAAGTTAATTGCCTTCCAATGTTATGAGGAGGGAACTCTCTTAGTCATTGTTGGCTTGCTTGAGATAACTCAAGGTCACTTCTTCCTCGAGGGAAACAAATCATGGGCCATACCATATCTCCAAACGTTGGGTCTAACTTGAAATGAGTTGTTAGATTTGTTGAAATAAGCTGATTTGTTGAAATAACTCAAGGTCCAATAAACTTGTAAGTAAATATTGATATTCACATAAGATGTGATATGACAAGGATTTTTTATGCCAATGAGATTAGAAATTACATTAAATGTAGTTGGTAAGGAGTTACCTACCTAATCTTATATATATAACTTATTGAGATAACTCAAGATTAATGTATGTTAGAGGATGGGATCCTAACCCATTAAGAAAACGAATAAAAAGTTTTAACGAGTTCTATATTATGAAAGTTATAGAACTTGAAGAAAATAGTAGGAGTAAACATAGATTTTACTTCTTTAATTTATGTTTTGTTTTATTTTATGCATTTTAATTAACATAATTGAACGCTTTTCTATCTTGTCGGATTACACGGTATGACTAGTAACACATCGATACGATTGATTATTAATAGAAGTAATACTTCAATGGCATAAACTTCGTTGACTTGAAAATAAATTTGAGGATAGTCCTTCAACATGAGAAAATTCTCTATACAATAGAAAAAGCTCTCTTAACTAAGCCTTCTTAGCATCAAGCTGAAGCTAATATAGCATGGATCAAATATAATGATGATGCAATCGCTGCTCAAAGCATCATTTTTACTACTTATGACATTGGAGCATAAGCACCAACATAAAAGCCCACAAGCCTTTGATATCATAGTGAAGCTTAAAAGCTTGTTTGAGGTGAATACTAGGCATGAGTACTATGAGATAGCGAGAAAGCTCTTTAGAGATAGAATGGATAAGGGATCCAATGTTGAAAAACATGTCACCGAAATGATAGGCTATATCTACGGATTGGCCGAGTTTGAAGTTGAAATGGATGTTGAATCATCTATTAACCTAGTATTGCAACTGTTGCCCAATAGCTTTGGACAATTCATCATGAATTTCAACATGATGGATATGGAAAAGACTCTCGGAGAGTTGTTGTCCATGTTAAGGGAAGTTAAACCTAAAATTAACAAGAAGAATAAGAGTTATGTACTTTTCTTTAACAAGGGAAAGGGCACGGTAAAGGGTAAGAAAAAGCCTAAGAAGAAGAAGTCTTCAACTGCGTCTACTTGCCAAAGTGAAAAAGCATGAGGCTCAAAATAGCCCAAAGGATGCGGTTGCTTTCATTACAACAAGAAAGATTAGAAGCACAACTATAAGGAGTACCTAGAAGGGATGTAAAGAAAGAGTTCTACCACCACCTCAAGTATTTATATTATTAAAGCTAATCCTTTTATTTCTAATTTCACCTCATAAGTATATGATACTAGATGTGGTGCTCACATTTTTGAAATGTACAAGAGCTTAGAAAAGGAAAAAGAAAATAGCTTTAAGGAAGATGATCCACATGACTACAATGGATAAAGAGTTGGATCATTAGATGTAGGTATTTATGAGCTCGCACTACCATATAGGAATGTGCTTAAGACTCAATTACTATTATTAGTAGAGACTAAAGATATTATTTTCATATCTAGGTTTAAATAAGTATTTCATTTTTAAGAATAATGATTATTTTTAAAGATGAGTTTTTCATGAAAATCTCTTGATACTAATTATATGTTTTGAACATAAATCCCATATATATAACATAAATACTAAAAGACTCAAATGATATAAATAACATAAATTTATAGTAACGCTAATTTAGCCATATAAACAAGAATCTCATATCCAATCTACTTATAAATGGATATCTAGAATTATTTGATGATATCTAAAGAATATTGTTTACTTGGCAAAGAGACATGAATCCCTTTTTGGTGAAAAAGAAGAAAAAGCTACTGATAAGGCCTTGCACATAGAGATGAATATAGGTCTATGTTCACCAAAGCAAGAGGAGAACACGCTTATCACATAAGTTTTAATGATAATAGATCATGTTTTGCTTCTAAGGCACAAGTCCAAAGCATTTGAAAGGTTCAACGAGTTTAGACTTAACGAGTCACATGACAAACTAGTAAAAGTATTAAGCTATTTCAATTCAATCGAAGTAATAAATACTTAAATGCTAAAATTGATTTTTTATTTTTATATTTTTTTTTACCTTTTTTTGACTTTTTTTCCATTTCCTTTTTATATCTAGCTTGGAGTGTGTATCTAGATATACTTTTTTCTAGGTCCATTCCTTCTAAGTGAAGTTGTCTTGTTTAACTAAGGGTTTCTTTATCCCTAAGTTAGATTTGGCTAATTCTAAAAAATTAGATTAGGCTTAATTAAATTAGACTAGGTTAGTCCGTGTTTTTACTTTTCTTGCTTGTTTTTTTGTATACTCTTTCATGATTTCATTTTCTTTTTTACTTGTTTTTTTTTTTATGCTTTGATTTATTTTCTCTCTACTCGTCTTTCAATACTAGGTTATTTTCACTCAAAACTCATAAAAATAATAAAACTCATGAAAAATAATTAAAAAAATTAAAATTAAATAAAAGGGGGTTATGATAAGGATAATGTGGTGAGTGTGGTTATTTAGGTGAGAGTAATGGGAATGGTGGTTCTAGTGAGGGGAATGTAGGGAGTGTTGGTTCAAGTGAGGATAATGATAATAGAGATTCGGTTGAGGAGAATGTAAAGAGTGGTGGTTCAGCCAAAGGTGTTGGTGTTATACATGGTAATGATGGTATAATATAGAAGAAATGACGAGATGATGAAAAGAGAGAGATAACTAAAAATGATATTGAGGCAATATATTGGGTTGACATTGATTATTTACTTTATAATGATGATGAAGAATATAGAGAGATAAAAAAAAGACAATTGAGTTTTTATTGAGAATAATGATTAATAGAGGGGAGGTTGAATAAGGTATGGGCAATGACATAGAAGAAGACATATTTACTAATGTAGAAAATAGTAAACAAGGAGTAAATGATGATGGTGAATTCACTATTTATGCATAACAAATTATTAGATGAATAAGATAAAAAAAACAAAGAAAAAAGGCAAAGAAATGGTGGATGGTGATGATGAGTTTGTTGTCAATATATAATTTAAGGATGTTAAGTATAAATTTGGTAACAATTGAGTTACCTTAGCACAATGAGGACAATGGTATAGAACATACTACGAGAGTAAAGTTATATAAAATTTACTTCAATCCTAATGATGAAAAACTCTTCTTTTAACTAGAAATAAGTTTTCCAAACAAGGTGACATTTAGAGATGCAATGATCAAACATAGTATAACAGATTGTAGAAATCTAAAATTTGAGAACAGACATATAGATGTGGGGCTATATATAGAGATTATGCTTGTAAGTTGGTTCTTTTATGTTCTCTCTATAAAGATAGTGGAAATAGAGTTATGAAAACTTATAAGAGTGGGAATCCATGCATTCGAATTTTATAAAATAATTTGGTAAAAATTACAAGGTCTTTGTTGAGCACTTAAAAAAGAGAGAGGTATAAGTGTCACGATAATGAAGCCTATTGAATTGATGGAGGAAACTTTAAAGGAGTTGCATCATATTATCGGTATTTTTAAATGCAAAAATAGTTTGAATTTGCTTGAATAAGATGTTCCTTGGTGATGCTAATAATGAATTTCAAATATTAAAGGATTATACTATAGAAAAAATTTTTTAAAAAAATGTAAAAGTAGTATTGTTGTACTAGAAAAAAATGATAGATATTTCAAAATAATATATGTTAGTTTTGATACACTAATAAAGGGTTTAAGAATGGATGTTGAAAAGTTATTAGATTGGATGAGTGTTTCCTAAAAGGTCTCCTTAAAGAAGAGATTTTATGTGATGTAGGTCATGATGCTAATAACTAAATGTATCCTATTTATTAGGTTGTTAGGTTGTTATGAGTTGAGAGATTAAAAAAAATTGAAAATTTTTTATCATTTAATTGATGGTTGATTTGTTCATTAGCATGGAGCTGGACAATGATACGTTTTCAAATATGATGATCACAAGGTATTATCCTACCTTATTATTAATATTGTTTCTTCATGTTTTTTTATATCATTCAATTCTCTTTATATTTTATAAGATATAATATATGTTTGGTGTTGAGTTTTATAAAGTCTAATTGGAGCTATTCAAGAGCTTATGTCATATATTGAGCACATAAGGTGTGTAAGATATATCTTTGCAAAGTGGGGAAAACCAACAAAGAAAGTGCCATCTATAAGCAATTTTGGATACCTTGTGGAGCAAGCACGTCACAAGACTTTGAAGAACAATTAAAGAAACTTGATGGGATAGAAAAATAAGATTTTCTAGAAATAAACCTAGTCTTTTAGTGTAGAGCTCTATTTAAAACTCATCGTAAGTATGACGTAGTTGGTAACAACTTATGTGAGACTTTCAATGCATTTACAAGACATCTAGTCATGATCGAAATGTTGAGAGGATTAAAGATGAAGAGATATTTAAGAAGGGTATTGGTCAAGTATATGGGAGAAGATTAAATAAATACAAGATAAATTCTAAAATACGGGATACTACATAATGGACAAAATAGGTATGAAGTGAATAACTCTTAAGACAACTTATGTTGTTACCTTAGAAACATATAAGTGAACTTACGAAACTAGAGATTGACTAGCATCCCATGTGGCCATGCAATGGCCATTATCATAAAAAAAAAAAAAAAAAAACCTAAATGAGGTTGATTATGTTATACTAATTGCTATTAAGTTAGAGAAATTCATGAAGAGTTATGAGCATTGCATTCGGCCAATGTGTGGTAATAAATTCTAGCCTAAAAGTAGAAAGAAGGCTATTCTTACACCAATTATAGGAAAAAAAAAAAAAATACCAAAGACATGATTAGAGAACAATAAGAGTCTTTTAATAAAACAAACCTATCTATAAAAGAAATATTTATGAGACGCATAGCTTGCCATTAAAAAAAAAAACATTACAATAGATTATGTCTTGAAAAAGTAAACACAAGCAATCATTTGTTAAATTTTAATAATTTCAATTAACTTTCTATCATCTTAAATTTTTTGTTTCATGTATATGTAGAAAAAGGAAAACTATGATGCTTGTATCGATGAAGTTGGTGCTCAAAATGCTTGTCATGGTATTTTTGGTGACACTTTGAATGGAGTTGGTGTAGGTGGTTATGATGCTAATTTGGATGGAAAATATGGTGGTTGTTCAACCGAGTGGCTTACATAGAGATGCTCTTACTAGTTCAATTATTGTTCGTGATGGCTTACATAGAGATGTTTCTACTAGTTCAACAGTTGTTTTCGATGGCTTACATGGAGATGTTTCTACAAGTGTGGGTGGTTCTAGTGTTGATTTAGATAGAGAATATGATGATAATCTTGGAGGAGTCTCAAATAGGGGTAATATTGGTGTTGGAATTGTTTGTTGGTTCAATGGCTATAGTTATGTAAGCAGTTGCCAGAATTTCTAGAAGTAAGAAAGAATTGATGATGTGCCATCGAGTGCCAAAAATATCAAAAGTAAGAAAATAGTTTATAATATGCCATAAATTGCTAGAATTACCAGAAGTAAGAAAAGTGTTGATACGACCTATGAATCAACTAAAAAAGTTACAAAGAGACAATTTAGAGTGGACAATGTTTTGGATTTTTTTTTTTTTTACATAGAATTAAATACCGTAAATTACCTCTTAAACACCAATGCTTATATTGGACATCTTTTGTCATTTAAATTCTTCTTTATAGAAAAACATATAATCATAATATAATATAGAAATTCTAGTCATCTGTCTTTTTTAATGTTCATTTGTTACTGGATCATTTGTGTTTAGTTTTTTCTTTTTTCTTTTTTTTTTCTTTGTACGTCGTAAGGAGTAACCATATACATACACACCAAACACATTACACAGAAAGAAACCGCATAAAATACAAGTATGAACTGAACAAATAAAATTTAAACTAGATAACACTTCGCTTTTTATCATAATTCAAAAGAATACATTAATCATTCAATACAGAAAAAACCATATAAATATACAACAAACACAAAAACCAGAAAGTTATTTCTATACGTAGCAATTTTTAACTTATTTTACCGTAAACCTTAAAGTAAAAAATTTCTAACTGCAATTCTTAAATTTTAAAAACCATTTCTTTCTTTTCTTTCTTAGAACACAATTATATAAATTTATGTTCAACAGGCAATAACTCATATTCTTCTTCTTGTTTCTTCAACTCATCTTTTGATCTTCGATTGATAACATGCAGTTTTTTTCACACATCTTCAACCCAATAATGACATCCCTAGCTCTTTCTATTTTTCTATATTTATGATTAATAAAATTATAAACAAGCACATCGATTTGTTTTTTTTTTTCAAACAAATATGAAATCGCAAATCTGGGTTTTCATTTTTCTATGATATCCATCTTGGTGTCTTGAGACCACAATATCACCTTATTTCTAGACTTGCATAATCGCACACGGCGTAAGTCTTTGACAAACAAAAGAACACAATTTCCTATGTCTTGGTCCTCTGCTTGATATTGTTGAATAAGAAGAAAACGACATTATTGATAAATGGGAGCTAGAAACAAATTGATTATAATTTGTTGATCGATTGGAGCTAGAAACAGGATTGATTGATAATGGGTGAAGAATTAGTGTTCATCGAATTGTGGATTTTTTATTTTTATTTCTTTTTAGGATTTGATTTTGGTATGATGTGTTATTGTAGGAGGGATGGGTTAGTTTTGCCCTTTTTTTTAAAAAAAAAAAATTGCAATTAATTATTTTATCTTATATCTAATTTTTAAAAGCTAATTTTATACTGAAAATTATGTTTACAGATTAGGTAGATCATACGTGTCATCATTGGTCATAAATTAGCCAGCTGACGAAATATAGTCAACCTAATAAAATGGATTGGCGAATGGACTAGTTGGTTTCTACTTTAAGTATTACAAAATTTGTTTTACATCATATCTGAATAAAAAGGTTAAAATAGCTAAATCTAAATAACATAAGTACATGGATGATTGTTACCGAAAAGAGAATTCTCAAACTAGTAGTATCAGACAATCCAGTGATTATACAGTACTAGTCTTTTTTAATAAGGAGTAGTACCTCATTATAACTTTTTCTTAGAGATCTTTTAAGAAGGGAGAGATGTAGGTCTTGGTTGAGGAGAAATTTTATAATACTAAATGAGTAATTAGTAACATGTATAGTAATTATTTCATAAATTTATTTTGAGAAGAGAAATAGACACATAAAAAAAAATAATAAAAAAAATTGAGTAAACATAGAAATCTTTTTATCTTTTATGGTGGATTCGGATGTAATTCTCTTTCATTTTTTTGTATATATCTCCCTTCTCAAAGTCGGTATATTGAATAAGTACTGTAAATATCACTAATTATTCTTGATTATTATGAAATTTCTTTTGGTTGAGCTATAAGTTAGCTCATTGGCAGCACATTAGCACCACCGTATAGATGTTCATTAATCGGACGATGTTGAAATGCAGTCTATTTATAGCGAGAGGTTTAACCAAACCAGATTTATCGTCTATGTATGACCACAGGTGTCTATTTATTTTTAAGGCAACTTTTCTTTCTGGAGCCTGATCTAATCAGGGTTGCCGCTGTATATGGTAAACAAGGTGGTCATGAACCCTATAAAAGGGACTCATCAATCTGGTTACTCCAAATTCCCATCATTTTCGATCTTCTTCTTTTCTTTCTCCGAACTAATTAATCCCTCTCTTTCTCACTGTTTGACGGTTTTCTATTTCATTTCTCTTTAATTAATTGCTTTATTTTCACCTTCCCCGGCCAGCCTATTCAATAATTCAGCTTCCCCTTTCATCGATCTCTGGTTTGTTTTCTAATCTCTAAGCTATATATGTATAGCATTTCTCTTCAAAGCTTTCTTCTTAATTATGTTCCTCTTGCTTTTCCATTCGTACGTATTTCTTTCATACATGCATGGTGGTCTGGATCGCATGATATATAAATATTAGACCCTCATCAGTCATATGGGGCATACAACTACAAAGAAAATTTGTAAAGAAAAAAGAAAACAAGACCACGTACACATTACTTGATCATCTCTCTTGCCTGTAGTATTTAGACAATGTATGAATAAATTTTTTATTCTATATAAAATAAAGTAATTGTTTGTATGTATCAATTGACACCCATTTCTCTTTAGAAATCTCGAGTCCGAATCTCTTTTTTGAGAAAAAAGAAGTCTGATAGTGATAAACTGGAGTAAAATATTTGCGATTATGGTAAATGCTATACATTTTTTTATCTTAATAACAGGAAATTAAGAGAAGGATCAGATGGAAACAAACGGGAACGAAGAGAAAGTGATGAATGGGAACGGAACAAAGCGACCAGCAGGGCTGCCTAAGATCACGACAACCGACAAACTTCAAGATGTCTGCGAGGACATGAGTGCACCCACTGTGAAGGCACGGACAATTGATGAGCTTCATTCTCTTCAAAAGAAAAAATCCGCACCCGCTTCTCCCATGAAAGGGCCGAATGAAGCTGCTCTATCTGTAGAAGAACGCCAGAAACATCAGCTCCGGTCCATCAGGTTAATTTCTTTTATCCTATTTTATTTATGGATACCCGCCATGCACGAACGCTATATTACCATAATCTGGAGTACTACTAGGAAAGGATAGAGAGAAAATATATTGAAAAAAAAAACATTAGACACGATAGAATTGAATATTGCTGTTGTCTGTTTAATTTAATTACAGTTTTGATGTGTGGATCGAATAACAGCGCATCGTTGGCATCACTGACAAGACAAAATGGACCAATGTTGGTGAAAGGAGACCCAGCTGAAAAGTCCGTGCCGGCAACGCCAAAGGATCACCCTAACGAAATTGTTGCTGCGCCAACCATCAGCGTCAGTGACAGCTCCTTGAAGTTCACTCACGTTCTCTACAATCTATCTCCTGCTGGTAAATACTATTACTAGCCTTTGTTTGAGCAGAAAGCAAATTCATTGAATTTCTTTCTTTCTTTCTTTCTTTCTTTTCTCTAATATATGGGATTTTTATTGTGCTGAATTGATAAGATTGGTCTAATTAAGGAGAAAGAAAATATAATAATTGTGCTGAAGCTGTATATTTATTGACTTATACACATGAATTTGGTGCAAAGCTTTATGAGCAGGCTATAAAGTATGAGAAAGGGTCCTTTGTTACATCCACCGGTGCATTAGCTACCCTTTCGGGTGCCAAGACTGGTCGGGCTCCGAGAGATAAGCGTGTTGTTAAGGATGATATTACTGGCGAAGATCTTTGGTGGGGAAAGTAAGTCCCTGACGATGTCGTTTGTTCATCTGTTGTTCATTAATCTCACTTGTTAATTAAGTACTATTAATTAGTATAATTAATAATATATGATTATTATTGATTAAGTAGATTACTTGGGTATATTCCAGGGGTTCTCCTAACATTGAAATGGACGAGCACACCTTCATGGTTAACAGAGAAAGAGCTGTTGATTACTTGAATTCTTTGGAAAAGGTCATTTTTCTATTTCTTCTCTTTTGCATCTAGATTTGGAACCGAATGGTTTGAAGTGAACTTAATTTATTATTTTCTAGGTATTTGTGAATGATCAATACCTGAACTGGGACCCCGAGAACAGAATCAAAGTCCGGATTGTTTCTGCTAGAGCCTACCATTCGTTGTTCATGAACAACATGTAATTAACTAAATCAGTTTTGCTTACATTAATTAATTTTTATCAGTAGTTTTTGCCTATCCCTCTCTCCCACAAAAGCCCTAGGCCTGCCAGATAAGTCTTCTTAATTCATGGTTGACTCATTGCTAATTCAGATATCATGTATCGAATATTATATTATATATACCCCAAGAATGGAGGAAATTAGAGGTGACAAAAAGGTTTATGGTGTATGAGCTAAGTACATATCTTTAACATTGGATAAGTGGGTGGATGGTGGCAGGTGCATCCGACCCAGTCCTGAAGAGCTGGAGGAATTTGGTACTCCGGACTTCACTATATACAATGCTGGTCAGTTCCCCTGTAATCGTTATACACACTGCATGACATCCTCTACTAGTATAGATTTGAATCTTGCTAGAAAGGAAATGGTCATCCTCGGCACACAGTACGCTGGGGAAATGAAGAAGGGTCTGTTCAGTGTAATGCATTATCTTATGCCTAAGCGTCAGATCCTGTCCTTACATTCTGGCTGCAATATGGGAAAAGATGGAGATGTTGCCCTCTTCTTTGGTTTGTCAGGTGTGCGTATATATCTGGATTCTGGCCTTAGTTGCTGTTCTTGTAATTTTTTTTTATGTTATTGGTGAGCATACTGAGATGATTTTTGTGTTAGGCACTGGGAAGACAACTTTGTCTACTGATCCAAACAGATACCTAATTGGAGATGATGAACACTGTTGGACTGAAACTGGAGTGTCAAATATTGAAGGGGGTGCTATGCCAAATGCATTGACCTGTCAAGGGAGAAGGAGCCTGATATCTGGAAAGCCATCAAGTTTGGAACAGGTAATAATCTGTACTTTATTGAATTGAATTTGCAGGTATAAATTATATTTTGAGATGTTTTAGTGCAACTGATCATTATGGGTGGCAGTGCTGGAAAATGTGATATTTGACGAGCATACTCGGGAGGTGGATTATGCTGACAGATCCGTTACAGGTGAATGGAAGGAACATCGTGAATTTTAACACTTGATACCCAAGTGAAAAAAAAAAAAAAAAAAGAAAAAAATTAATCTTCTTATTATTTCCTCTCACTGTTGCAGAGAACACTCGAGCATCCTACCCCATTGAACACATTTCTAATGCAAAGATACCTTGTGTTGGTCCACACCCTAAGAACGTCATCCTTTTGGCATGTGATGCATTCGGTGTACTCCCACCTGTGAGCAAGCTGAACCTGGCACAGACCATGTATCATTTCATCAGTGGTTATACTCCTCTGGTAATTAATTAGTACTAAGTCACTAATTGCTCGGCTTATAGACAATACTGATGTGCATGTGCTAATTAACGAAATCAGCTGGTAGCATTTCGGCAACTGATATATGTTAATCAATGTATAGGTGGCCGGCACAGAAGAGGGTGTGAAGGAGCCAAGGGCAACCTTCTCAGCTTGCTTTGGTGCAGCATTTATAATGTTTCATCCTACCAGATACGCAGCTATGCTGGCTGAGAAGATGAAGCAGCATGGTGCAACAGCATGGCTCGTCAACACTGGCTGGTCAGGTGGAAGGTATATATATATATATATATATATATATGATTTGCATTGTTATGATACAGAGTGATCGATGGCCAATCAGAATTCTATCACCCATTTGTTTAATTTCCAGGGAAAAAGCTGGACTTAGAATATCTTAATTTGGTGTTTTTTCAGCTATGGTTCAGGAAGCCGTATCAAGTTAGCATACACAAGGAAAATCATTGATGCCATACACTCTGGCAGCCTCTTGAAAGCAGAATATATGAAAACTGAGGTGTTTGGGCTCGAGATCCCCACCAATGTTGAGGGAGTGCCTTCTGAAATCCTAAATCCTGTGAACACTGTTATTAGTCTATATGTTCCCTCAATATTTACACCACTCATCTTTCTCATCTAATTTGCATCCTTATTTTACCATCCTAATATTTTTTGTGTGTTGGATTAATGCAGTGGCCAGACAAGCAAGCTTACGACGACACACTGTTGAAGCTGGCTGGTCTGTTCAAGAGTAACTTCGAAACATTTACTGATCACAACTTCGGAGAAGACAGCAACCTCACAGAGGAGATCCTGGCAGCTGGTCCAAATTTCTAATTTTGCAAGTCATATCCTACCAACTTGCTCACCCATCTATGTGGTTTTGGAGTAACTGGATGGTTTTGTTCAAAATGATATGTAGTTGTTCCATTAATTTTTTTAAAATTCAAATTAATGTATACATATATGTAGCTGGCTAGGACACGAAATTTTGAATAAGAAAACAGCATATATAGTTGTAGGTGTTGATGTAATTTTTTTTTTTTTTGTCGAAAAATATGAAATATTCGACCTACTTTTTAGTTTTGTACTAGATTAAAATAATAATAATAATAAAAGATCATTTATGCATTCTGTTTATTTTGCTTAGTTCATTTATGCTTTAATTGCTAATCATCAGCATCTATTCTTGTATTGTTTACTTCTATCCTGAGAATTATATTTCCATGATGATCTTACGCTGGGATGATAATTTTGGACTTGCTTACATTCACTGCATATTTCTTGAGTTGGCAGCAAGGGCATTGGATGAATTAGACAAATCAGTTTTCCAAAGCAGATTCGTGCGTGTCATGTCTCCAAAACAAAAAGATCCTTCAAACAAGCAGGAGACCAACGGTCTTTTGAACCAGGGATCAACAACTTTGAAGCGACGGAGACATGATGAAAGAAGAGCAGCTGACGTCACCGGAGGTATGCGAGCATGGAGTAATCTTTTCTTCCAAAATGATAGAGTCGGCATGAACTCAGAAGGAAAAGAAGACTGGAAAATATTGACTGGGCATCCACAAGATCGATTTGAATCTAAAGCCGAGTTCTTTTCAATCGGGAACGCTTGACATGGAAGTGTGACCCATTCCAACTAGGCTAAATATTTTTAGTTATTTATTTATTTATTTATTTGTCTTAAATATTTTGTTTTCATAAAGATTCATATTTATGTAAGAGTTTATTTTAGAGTCTATAATTGTTTGAAATTGGACTAAATTAATGAGTCCTTGTTGAATTCAGATTGAATTAAAGCTATTGGGTGGGTCCAAATAGATTATGGTATTATTTTTTCTAGTTAGCTGAATTTTACGCTTTTTTTATTTAAGCATCTTTTATGTATTTTGGAGAGACAATTTTGTATAATCATTGATTAAAATTCTCGAGAAGTTTCTCTAAATTATATCTTGCATTAATCATTGTGCTTTGCTTAGAGTTTTGGGCTCTGAATCCTTGAATTGATCTCTCAAAATAGTGATATTAATTATTATTAGCTAAAGATGTAATGAGATTCTAAATCTCAGCAAAATCATCTAAAACTAAACCGTTTAGCTAAAGATGTAGTAAGATTCTAAATGTCGCTAAAATTATCTAGACTAAGGATTTATTTTATTGTTAAATATTGCTTCGACTTTCTATAGTTTTATTATTTGTGAATTGATTATTTGTCTTCACAAATCCGATATCGGACATGATCCCCTCTAGTCCACATATTTTTCACAGTGGCTTGTATAGAGAATGCAATGATAAATATGAAAATAAATTGCAATAAATTACTAATCAAATAAATTAGATATAGAGTTAATGTTTTGTGGAAAAAGCACCCACAAAATTTTCATACAAATATTTATACTGGCTACCTTGTTTATAAAATACTAATATCTTTTACTTTCTTTGTTTAACATGATAATTTTCTTTGATTTTTCACATAGTTTAATAAACTTCTTAATTATAATATCATAACAATATTTTTCTAAAATATCTTTTTTTGTTTAAAGAAAAAAATCTATTCAATTTAATTATGCAATATAAAATAAGAGTATTTTAAAAAAGTATAATATTAAAAAATTTGACCAGGAAATCATTTTAGATATAAATAAAAAAGAGAATAGCCTTTTTAAAACAAAAAGAATATTCTTTTTAAAATATGATTTACCAATTCATCCATCATTAACCTTGTTTAATTGGTATCTTATTTGCTTAATTCAAAGTAGTCTTGCAAGGTGGTTAAGAGCTTTGACAAATTAACTTGAAGGTATATATAGTCATTATTTTATCTATTTAAGATGAATACCGAGGATCAATAATGACTAAAAAGTGAGGTTTATTATTAAAAGTACCTATGTATTTTCCTGTTATATAAGAATGAAAATATATATAAATATATGGATACATTGAATAATTGCTCATTAATTTTTATGAAGTCCTAAAATCTTAAAGAATGACGTGATTCTTTCACAACCAATATAAAGATAGTGCTTGCTAATTAATAGTGGTTGTGACGATTGAAATACCTACGGAACAAATCATTCTAGTTGATTGAGAATCCTTCAACGATCAAATCAGTACGAGGAGGGAAAGCGTTAGCCTAAAAAAGTTATGATGCAAGTCTTAAAGATGAAGATGAATAATAGTAAGAAGTAAAAAGATTCAAAACCTTTATCTTTAGATTTCATGACTCTTTATATAGCTATAAAACTCATTAAGTTGTATAAAAAGAAAAGTAGAATTATCTTCTTCTTTTTTAACCATCAACAAATTTTAATACCAATAATGGGATAAGTAGTGTTGATATTTACAAGTCATTGTTGAACAAACATAATAATATCATTGTCGTTGTTGTGAGTTAGATAAAAACTAGTTTTTTGGCCGCGTTATGCTTGCGAGTTGGATAAAATATATAAAATCGTTTAAAAAAATAGATGAAATCAAAGATGAAAAAAATATTCATAATTTTTTAATAAAAAATTTTATATTTTACTATTTCTTATTTGTGTTTTTCATATTTTTTTCTTTAGAAAAAGGATTTATCCTTGTTAATCCATGGATTATTAACTAAAAAAAAATTAAATAATTTTTTTAAAAAAAGCTTTAGTATTTCATAAGATTGTGTCAAAAAACATAAATAACAACTATTAAAAGCTTACATAGAATTGAAAAAATAATTATTTTTTTATTTAATGTTGATGAGAATACTTGGATTTTGAAAAAATATGAATTTAATTTTTATATATTTATTTACCAAAGAATGAATAATATTCAAATAAAAAACTATATTAATTTGAATCATTGAGTGGTTAAGCCAAAACACTATTTTAATTATTTAATTCATAAATAAATAAATAATAAATGCTTAGTATAGAAAAATAATATTATTATAATATGATCATAATATTAATAACATATGACTATATTAAAAAAAATAAAAAATTAAAGAAGTAAATTTTAAATAATTAATATAATTAAAATTAAAAATTAAAATAAAATGGGACTAAATCATAATACAATTAAAGTTTGAAATTGAAAAAAAAACATAAAAAAATTAAAGACTAAAGTGCTAAAAAAATGATATGAATATATAAAAATAATAATAATTTATGAATATGTGAATAATATTTTAAATAATAAAAATAAAAAAAATATTTTACTTTAGATTTTTTAATAATAACATTGAAATTCGGTCTTCGTTTAATGAATGTCCCATTTATCTTTTTGATAGGTTGAAGGTAGGTATAAGTCTTCAAGCCAGGACGGAGCTATTTCTTCTAGTAAGAAGCATTTTTCCTTGATAACGTCAGGCACGTTCACCCAAATTTAACTTGGATGGGATGATGTCCACTCAGGTTTAGTCTAGGTGTGCTTTCAGGGGAAGAAACCACTTCAATAATCGCTTGACGATCTTCGTGAAAACTTATAAAGCTCTTACTTAAATTGTATATGTATCATTTGAGTACATCAATTGTTAGCATAGTAGAGACCAAAAACTAGGAAAATGCAAGCAAAAAGAATAATTCGGGTCATTGAGTTTTGAACAGTGTTGATCCATCAGAAAAGAGAAGAAAAGAAAACACACGAAAAAATGAGACAATTTGATGCTAATTTGTGGTTCAAACTTGAACGTCCAACTGCACCACAAGATCAGTGGTCAATACCGATCTTCAAACCAACCAATTTCACGGTCCCATCTAACCTGAACTTTGTCCTACCCAACTCCATCCACATGCTAACTTTTCTATTTGCAACAACCATTGATTTGCAAATTCTCCTCTTTGGTACTAATCACTTGATCTTAGTTCCAGAGGAATGGTTCACTATCCTAGCTAACCATCCTTTTGTTTGTAATTAAGGGAAAATCTAATTAAATTAATTAATCATGCTATTCCCATAACCCTAAAAATAAACAAGTTATTAAGTGGGTGTACGCTTAGTCAATTCTACCTAGGCTAAGAAAGTAGAAACAATTCAACTTCTCTACCACAAATTCCCAACCTCTGATAACAATAATGGAAGAACTTCACTCAAAAGTTTTTGCTTGCTTATCAATTTGGGCTACTACCCTTCCAATTTTTATCAAACTCATGGCAAGAGAAATAAGATGAGGTCTGTTATATGTTAGTTTGTTCTCATCACATTTTTATCTGATTTTATTTATTTGATTGAACAATATAAAAAATGAACAGCGAAGGTCGATCATCCAATAGTAAGCAGCCACATTTCTTTCTTTTCCACCAATGGAAGAGGCACTACAAGACAGAACTAACACCCTCCGCACAGTATCATTGCTTAAAATGGTCCTAATCTTTCGATTCATTTATTTATCGTAAAATCAATCGGCAAGTGGGTCCGTTTACCTAACATGATAAGGCTGTGTTTGGAAGAAAGGACAGGGGAAAGCAGTCCAAGTGAAATCGGAAAGAAAATAGATTTATTGGCATGATTCATCAGTGGATTCTTTAAATTTTCTTAATATAGTGCTTATTGGATCTCTCTGTTTTCTAAATTTTCTTAATGTGAAAATCATTTTCTGAGTAAAACTAAATAGATAGACTGACATAGTAGATAAAATTAACATGCATAAACAAATTTAAAAAACTAACTGGAAAAAAAAAAAAAAAAAAAATATATATATATATATATATATATATATATATATATATATATATATATATATATATATATAGGTACAAAAACACACAACCTATGTCACCTTCCACAGAGGAGCACCGAATCCATTTCACAGCCACTGGACCAGGAAATCAAGAACTCGCATAGATTTAGCTAATTATAACTTTTATTGAACTTCGAAGAAAAAAAAGTCGTTCGCTTGCTCTGGATTGATAATAAAATATGAACAAGATTTTGATTATTCCAAATAAAACTCAAAATTTCACTTTCATTTAAAAATCAAATCCACTCGCAGACTCTTGATATTGCTAAGGAAGTTGAAAAAGAAAAAAGAAATCTCATTTCATTTTCAATTCGCAAGGCTTCCCCGTTTGGTTAAAAAGGAACGAACGAAGATATGGGGACCTACCTTATTAACGCCAGTGCCAGCGAATTTGCAGCCAAGAACAATGTAATTGAGCAAAATAGAGAAGTCACCACGCGACTAGTGTACTTGGATTGTTCGTTCAACACGAATAGTCATCAAATCCTTCCAATAATAAACAAATATATATGTGTGTGTGAAATCATCACTCAGTTTTCGAAAGGAAAATTAAAAAAAACCTAACATTAGTTTTAAAAATTTTAAGTAAGGAATTTGATTACACAACAAGGAAAAAATACAACCGTCTTAGTATGCTCTCGAAATGAAATTACTTTGTATTTCTAACTTAAGAAAATTCGTTCATTCAAATTATCTTTTCCATCTTGATTTGCATGTTCAATTATTTGAATCTTTTCTTATCAAGTCCCAAGGGAGATGATTTGGAGACTTTAAGAAAACTCAATCTCTCATCTAATATGGCATTGGTCCGTTAGAGCTCATTTAGGAAGATAAAAATCAAGGTTAAAAGTTAATTGCACATTAAATCCTAGTCCTACAAAAATATAGAAAATAAAAATAAAATGAACATGGGCCGAGGACCAAATTTACCTATCGAACCATAACAAATAAAAAAATAAATTATAAGTCCATAATAACTAAAAAAATTAGACATGGGCCTTTAGCCCATTTCACCTATCATGCCATTTTAAAATATAAAATCAAGTCCAAGGTCAAATTAAGAGCTAAATCGCAAGAAGAAGAAATTAGTAGCACTATAAAAATAAATTGAAATTAATTATAAACAATAGTCATAAAAATAAAAATAACAATAACAATAACAATAAAAGGCCCGTCATTAGAACAAAATCGATCTCGGATCCTAAACCTACTCCATCTAAACCGACCTAGATTAGCATCACATAAAATAAACACACACACACACACACACGGTATATGACATAAAAATATGTTAAAAAAAAAATCATAGATCACATAAAAACGACTTCATGAAAAATAAAATAGTCAATAGGCCTCCACAAGGGCCTCGCCCTACAAATTCAGATTCGGCTTATTTTAATTTTCTAAAAAAATTACTAGCTCGTTGCTAGCTTCATCATTGATCGATAGTTTCTTAGGGACTTAAAATAAAAATATTGTATGATATGTCAAGGAACCTCTTTTTATTAAAAAAAAAAAATTCAAAATAAGACAAGATTAAAACTTAAAATAATTTACTAAATCCACCATTCTCAATCTAATTGAACATTAAAACACATCACACATCAAAACAACTTAAATTTAGATCCTTTTTGGTTTTGTCACATATAACCTAGTATTCAAGTTTTTAAATCGTTCAATTACACTCCTAACCAAATGTTTTACATTCAATAATCATTCAACCTCAATCACATAATTGACAATACCATCCTATAAAATAGAGAAGCAATCAAGCAAAATTATAAAATTTGGATATAAATCAAATTAGAAACGTGAAAGTATAAAGACGTAATTACCTAAATCAATAATTTAGGGACCAAACTAGATCTTTGGAAAAAATTCTTGGTGGACTTTGGGAGGCACATGACAATTGCTCTGCTATTGGAATGGAGTGGTTCAAGCACATTGCGATCATCTCAAAGGGAAGATTCGGTGGTTTGACGCATGTTTATCGAGAATCAACTAGCTAGGAATGGTGGTGGCTTCTTTCGACTACTATCTTTTGCTTTTCTTTAGGCCATTAGGTTTTTTTTTCTAGGTGTCGGCCTTCTTCCTCTCTTTTTGGGTGTGTGTGCGTGTGTATGCTTAGTATTTATAGGGGTTCTTCTAAGGTTAAACTATGATTTTTTTTATTCTGATTTTTCTCTTTTATTGTTAAGTAGCCTAACCCAATGCCTAATACCTAGCCCAATATAGATTTAGGCCTAGTTCTCTTTTTTTTTCCTTTTTTTTTCTCTCTTTCTTATTTTTATTTTTTTATTATTTTTATTTTTTATGAGGTTAAAAATAAGGTGATAATAGTTTTCCTTTCTTTATAATACTTACGTGTTAAGATGTAAGAAGACAAGTCTTTGAACATCTTGACTTAGTGAGCTTGTAAAGAAGAGATATGATATATATATTAAAAAAAAAAAAAGAAGACAAATTCGGAGAAATAAAATACTTATGGATTATTCAACCTTGGAAATGAGTCAAATATATGAATCATCTTGGAGTGATTTGATTTTAAAATTGAATCAAATATATGAGTTATCTTTGGGTTATTTGATTTTTAGAAATACATGAATACACAAACTCTCTCGAAATGAAGCAATCAAATGTACGATACCTCTTTGGGAGACTTGACTTTAAAATGAAAATCAATCAAATATACGAACCTTCTTGAAGGTGATTTAATTTTGAAAAAAAAATCAATCAAATATACGAACTCTCTTAAAGTGATTTGACTTTTTGCTTCGAACAATCTTCTTAAGAGAAAAATTGGTCATCTCGACGGGGTGACCACTTGGATGTTTGTGAATGAATGACTTGTTTAAAAGAGATAAATTAGAAAGCTATGACAGGGCAACCTTCTAACAAACGAATTAATATGAAAGGATGACCTCCTAATAAATAGTTCACTATGACAAGGTGACCTCTTAGCAAATGGTTTACTATGACAAGATGACCTCCTACCAACCGGTTGACTATGACAGAGTGACTTCCTAACAATTGGTTCACTAAGACAGGGTGACCTCTTAGTAATTTTGGAATTTGGTCATCTCTATGGTGATCACCTGAAATTTTTAGAACCTAATCATCTAGATAGGATGACTACCTAGATAGTTTTTTGAAATTTGATCATCTTGAAAGGGTGACGACTGGACATTTGTGGAAACTTAGCTTATGATGAATAGCTTTAAAAGGAAAAGTTTGTTCATTCTCATTATTGAGTTCTCTTTATCTTTGGCGGTGATAGATTATGAGTTCTATGAGGATAGTACCTCTAAGAGAAGTCTAGGTTACATTTTCCAAAACTCAACTCTTTGTCTCGAATTTAGAGAATTAGCTCACATCTTGTGTCTTGACTATTAGTTTGTTAAAACTTTTAGAACTAATCTTGTTTCAGCTTATTGTTATTTTGCTTTATCCATAGAAATGTGATTCCATCCCTTATCATTTGGTCATATTGCCCCTAATTATGGTTATGGCCTTTGAAACATCTCTATGCTCGTCATTTTTTTTCAATTCATACACCCAAGGCTCTTAGTAGAATTAGCTTGCTATGATTTTAACCCATGACCTCTTGTTACAAGAGGCCACTAACATTGGGCTACAAGCTCTTTGGTTCCATGCTACCATTGGTTATGAATTTCTAACGAGAATGTTTGTGTGCCTTCATAAAAAATGGACACATCTTGAACTCGTTTTACACTCAACGTGCTTGCTAATTGGCCATATCTTGTTATTCTAATAATTTTTAAATTTCATTCATTTTATCATTGATGAACACTTAATGTCATCTTCTTGCCCTCCTATTTAGCTATTACACCCTAGATCCAACTATTTTTGTGCCACCCATTTGCCCTCCGGTGTAGTCTGGTATGCTACTTGGTCATAGCTCTTAAATTATGGTCTTGTTTAACCAATTGATCGTAATCAATTTTATCTTGATCATTCATTTGTTTATCTACTAAATCTCTCACTTTGCAAATTTAATTCAATTTAGTAACACCGAAATGCAATAAATCATTATGTTTTGAACCAAGTAGCGAGACTTTAGTGATATTTTTCTTATCAATCTAGATTATTACAAAGAAATATTCGAGATATGCATCAAAAAGTATTCTCATTCATGAATTATTTGATTGATTAATCATAAGCTAAAATATATCATTCAAATAATAGGTTGCAATCATGTTCGGGTTACAAAAGGGTTTTTGTAAATAGATATTCTTTTGTGCTCTTTGCAAAACGATCAAAAAATTGGATGTGTTGAAAGTCAAAGGCTCGAATGATGCTTTTATAAAATATGAGGTCATATTTGGAATGGATCGAGCTCAAAATGTGGTTTGAAATGATATTTTTGCCTTGTCTTTTCTTATGATTTGATGCCATAAACAATGATATGGAACATGCAAGTGGATAAAAAAATATTCTTTTTTCTCATTGAGAATATAACTTATCGGTGTAAACAACTCATTTTGATTAAAAATAATTTTTAGAAACACATTACGTAGGTCTGGTGTTCGGATCTTAAAGAAAAAAGTATAAAAGCTCAAAGTGTGTTTTAGGGTTTGAAGACTAAGGATCACTTTAATGATTATAAATGTTTCCTTTTGACTTGATTGCTCTTATAGAATCATTATTGTTATTGTTGACTTCTCTTGTGAGTGCTTGAATAATACCTTTTATTTTTCTATGAATAGTGATTTTGGCAAATTCATGATTATTCTTTTTCTTCTTCTTCTTTTTGTTTTTTAGGGATAAACATGATGTGAGCCTCTCATGGTGATTGAGATTATGGCTCTACTATCTATGAACTTTCTTTAACCTTTTTTGTTGAAAAAGTTATTCATCTTTGTAATTTTAACACATTTTTCCCGAATATGAGGGTGATTCTAGTCATGGGTCATCATTACAAAAATTAATAAGGCTTTAAAAAAAGACTACAAGGGGTTTTTATTTTTAAAGGATACTTTAAAGATGGTCGTTTCTCATCTTAAAATCAATTTGCTCATGCTAATAAGTTCTAACTATTTTGAGTGGTTTGTTTTGAGGAATCGAGTTCATGACCACTTTGTAT